TAGATTACATAATTCACTTTGTTCCCATTCTATTAGCTATCAAAAACAACAAAATAAGCTACCTGGCTAGAAATATTATTGATTTTCCATATGGAAGTCTCCATTTAAACTAGCTCCTGAGACACAAAACGCTGAGGCAAAAGTCAGTTTTCAGAAATGTACTCAGAATCACTTGTTCAAAGCAGACTGGATTTTAGAAGACAATTTAAAGTACTAGCACTAAAGAAAATTAGTCTTCAAGATGAACATGCTACTATGTTTGTAATACCAAATTTACGTGCAGTCTACCCTCCCGATTTTGAACTCTGTGCAAATATTTGGAAGAACACTCAGAGCCCTCTAAGCCTCCAGCACTGTTCTGTAAATTAGTGGGAACACAAAAGTCTGTAAGAACACACGCAGCATTAAAATCCACATCTATACGTTTTCCTTTGTATCACTGCTTTCCACCTGCTAAAGCTTTGTAGAAAACAGTTAGCTGTCCTCTCTGTTGTCTTTATGTACTCCCTGTTGTCTTAATACAAGTCCAAAAGACAAATAAACCAATACACAATTCAAAGTGGCAGTGCTATGCATTTTATTATGTAATAAGAATTTATGATTAGTATGATTATTTAATCTATCAGTAAAAATTATAGGAAAGTTGCCATTTAGTGCAGCTAGGATTTTGCCTGTAGTCTCATGCATCTCTACAGAGCCATTTCCACTTCCTTTTCCTTGCAGAAGGTTGCCACTGGTGCTTGCCAAAAGACACTTTCTTCCACCAGTTTAACATACGACGATGTTACCAACTCTTGCAGCTCAGGGAAACAAAACATTGCAGCTTTTCAGGAGCAGCAAGTTGGCTGGCAAGAATTTCAAGACTGCCCCAGGTACCTCCCTGTTATCCGAGGTACAGACGCCCCGTATGCCTTTCATTGTCACCTGTGTGACCTTGACAAAAATAAGTTTAGTCTTTCAAAATAAAAGGCTAAGCAACAAATTACAGAGGTGAAAACAAAAGCTACCAGAAGCTAAAATAGAAGAGAGAAAAAAATACCTCTTATTAGATCAATGTCCTAAAACTGGAAAAAACACACAAGGTTTTGCACAGGCAAACTTTTCTCCAGACATGAAGCAGCAAACATAAAATCAGATACAGTACTTCATTTCACTTCTACATAAAACAATAGAACACACTTGGCATTTGCTTGGAGTTTTACTTCTACTTTTGCAGATATTTCAAGAATCGGGGCTGATTAGTTACAGAATTGGTCCCTGCAGGTGGGGTGCTTTAGACAGGAAGACACAGCGCTAGACAACAGGATACCTGTCAGTCATTGGAGTGATGGGTTGACTCACACACAATGCCTAACGACTCGGCATTCCACAGGCTGGAAATCATCACTTGAAGGACAGCTTCCCAAAATGTCTTCAGGAAGCAACTGCCTCTCTTTTCAAATTACATTGCAAAAAATGGCCCTTTGTTTCCTGCCTTTCCTTAATCTATAAATATTTATTGAACAGTATCAGATTAACTGACATACAGTTAAAGAAACCTTCCTGTGCTTACTAGATGCTGTTTCCTATCTCTGCTATTCTACTTAGATTGTGCTTGGAAAACACAATACATCCAATCTCACAGTTACTAAAAATGGATCAAAAAATGCAGTGGCCACATGAGCAAAGAGATGATCCATTACAGTTCACTCTGTTGATTCAGATTTGTCTGAAGCATTTCGATGGGGCAAACAGTACATGATCTGGCATAAAGTGCTGCTACAGTAGTCTACTGGGAAATCTGGCCTTACCTATGGCAAGCAGACAGGTTAGTGATAGCACTTTATGACGGTTTAGAGTCAATGACAACAAATGCATCGCTTGAGTTGGCCTTGCCTGAAACAACAATCTTGTGAATTTGCTTCTTGCCTCTGCTTTTTTTGTCCTATGAATCCTGGCCACATATAATACTGTTTTGTAACACATAACATAGATGTGGGAAATGTATGTCCTCATCCAGTTTCGTGCTTAAGCTACTCTATGCATCCCAACTGGGAAATGTATTACATTACATTATACAAAAGTCTTTCAGGCTTTTCGCAATACTTCAAAAGCCTAATCCTAAGAAACAATTATTATGCAAGCACCTTATTAACACTGCAGGCATCAGTTTGCCCTGCAGTATTACATGCACACTAATGGCAATATTTAATAATGGGAATGAAGTTCACAGGTTGTGCAATACTTCTCTCCCCATACTCATAGACATTGTTAATTCCAGAGAACTTTGTCACAATGCTGGTAAAATAGATCCCTTTCTATAACAGAAAACTAACAGCACACTGCAACACTATGTAATTCAGCTTAACACACTACCTGGAAGTCTTTGAGGTACTCTACAAATTAAATCTACTTAGAACATGATAGTGCACTGGTGCAACACTCTCATCTTGTTTTTCCTTAGTCAGACTTAGCTTATGGTAACTGTTCTTTCGTTGCTGTCCACGTTCTACTTTCTGTGACAGTCTGTGTCCTAGTAATTCGAACAGCTCTTCAATCATTCAAAATATAAATGGCTTCCTGACCTCTTCTGTCACGTGTGTTGCTATACAGATATATCTCCTATAGAGATATATCGGCTCCCAAACCGTAACTTGAAAATTAGATGTTCAAGTTACACAAAAAAACTTTGAAGCCATCTGATTCTCTCTGCATCTAACCAGATAACACACCCATTTTCTTGACATTTGATGTGTATGTCCTGGATTTTTGCTTAAAAAAGAGTAACATTCCTTTGACTCTTATTTTTTTGGCTCCTCTGACTAATTGCTTCTTCATTTTGTTCATTCGAATTTGTTGATTTGATATACAAAGGGAAAAACTACCGTGTTGTCCTTCCAAAGCTTTTTTTTACCTTCAGTACTCAAAAGCAGCAGACCTCCTTCCTCGATTCATAGCTAGAATGACTTGTGTCTTTGAGAGGGGCTTTACAACGGTCCTTTGATCTCAGGTATTGTAACGTGAGCAGTAAGTTAAAAGATCACCTATTATGTCTTGTCAGCAAACTTGGAAGCAGTTGATGTGAAACAGGGAATGTGTAAGCATTTTAGGGTTTGTTGCTTCTTTTTAAAGAAGAAAATTCAAGTAGGCTTAACTAAGAATCCAGTTAATATGCTGTAACTCCATCTTGCTAGTTAATGAATTTTTGCTTTAAAGGTTAACTGTCTGAACTTGAAATCCATGTAAGCAAATGATACTCAAAAATCATCATCAGGATAACAAGAACAATTTATGGTTTTGTATAATTATCACAACATTTTATTATACTTTATATTTTCATCAGTCATTTTGTAGAGGATTTGGTGTTAAACTTGACTGCCTTAATGTTCAGCATATCAAAATGTGTTTGGTAGAATTCAAGAAGACATGATTTTGTAATCCATTCTTTTGCAAAGCACTGCAGTGGTCAGGAGAGACACAGCAGCGTGCAATGGCTGGGTATTTCGTAGCGTGGAAGGAGAGAGGTCCCCGGTGCCCACAGCAGCGGTATTTCCCAGCTCCGGAGCTCTTCTCACCACAGAAGCCAGGCACCCTCTCGAGCGTCTGCTGACCACCTGCACAAGCAAGGGGGATCGCTCCAGCACAGGTTTAGTGAACAGAGTACGGAAGCTGTACTTGGCAGCCTCCGTCACCTGGGATTTACAGTCCAAGTAACCTTGCCAGGAAAACTTCCACACATTTCTCAGCTGGGATAGGCATGGGACTGCCTGTAGCCAGGATTACAGCTGCAGTGACTGAGCACCTGAGCCTGCCCCAGTCACTTAGCTCTTGAAGAGAGGTTTTGAGGGTATTCTTAGAATCATTTAGGTTGGGAAAGACCTTCATGTGTCCAATGAGATCTGCCACTGGTGTCTGCCGGTCAGAGACAACTCTTCGTACCACATTAACTCACGTGCAAATACTGTAGTGACCAACAGAGAGGCCAGACCATAGCTGGTATTCAAAGACAGTACGGAAAAGACGGCGTGCTTGCCGTTAATGCAAAATCCTGATTGCTCTGAAATCACTAACAGCGCAGGAACACGGTACATTTTTAAAAACATACGATTATTTGTGAACACCTGTGGCTCTCTCTCGGCTCCCCCGAGGGGTTTGGGGTACACCTCCCGCCGCCCTGGCACCTCCTGTCCTCCCCATTCACCCCGGCCCGCGGAAGCACCTTTGCGGGCGGTCGCAGGCACCTGGCCGGCCCCGC